CAATTAGTGCAACTCATTGGTTCTCTTCTAGTTGCATATTGTAGATCACTTGTTTTAGATAACAATTGTGCGTACGTAATTCAATATTACAATACTGTATATATACTGTGGCTGCGTCACTGGCACTTTGGGAGGGCTGCCCTGGCTAAATCGCAAAGAACTCTCAGTCATTTTGGATTGCTTCTTTGCCAGTGCTTGAAATAGTATCTTTTACGTTATGGTACTTTTGAAGAAGGTTGTCCCATTTTTGTTGAATCGATGCTTTTGTACGATCCTTCAAACTTGAACTTGCATTGGAAGAAGCTTGCAAATTTGTAATAATATTGTCCCAAATTCTACCTTTTTCTTGTGGGTCTCTTACTTGTTGCAACGCATACTGCTGCTTTCCAACTTCTTCAATCAGCATCCGAGTTTCTGAAGATGTTCATCTATTTGTCGACTTATTAGAGGTTGAACTTGAGCTAGAAGTAGATTCTAAAGTACCTAAAGTCAACAAATTTTCCTGCTCATTATTTGTAATGGAGAGTTCCTCCTAAAAAAAAATTTTTTATGTTTATTATTTATTTATTTATTTATTTTTTATGAATTTTTTTGTAATAAATACTTCGTTATTTTCAACGTTGGTTTTGTTCGAAGCTAAAGGCGTAAAAAGTTGCGAATATTGTTGCTGTATCAGCATATGAATATTTGTAAAGTCAGTAAAAGGAGAAATTTGGGCACTTGAAGTTGGCAAAGTTACATTTGTTTGTTGGGGTATTGCTAAAGAAGGAGTTACATTTGTTTGTTGGATAGTCACCTTTTTTTTTTTGTTACGAATTACTGAAGACATAGCGACAATAGAGTAAAACAAAGATGGTCTGCTCAAACAATGATTGCAATCATTATTATGATCAATTGTAATAATTGAGCATCATCTCAATCACTATCAGATCACATTGAGGAAGTTGCTTGAGAACACCCTTAATCAATCAATTAATTGATTTTTAAAATATTCAATCGATTAATTGCCAATTAACCAATTAATTGATTTTTCAATTTTCAATTTGTAACACTACCCACCTCTTCCTCCGCACACTGTAGTCTCCTGATTTGCCATTTTCCTATTTAATAGCCGACCTGCTTCGAGCAGGTGGGAAACCACCGGCTGATGCTGCTTCTTGCTCATTCTACTGTTACTATGATATCTGGCGCAATCTCACTTTCTAATTTTCTGGGAGCATATTATCGTTTCAGTTCAATTTACTTAGCTAAAATTACTTAGCTAAAATTACTCATAATGTATTCTGCAGACTTCATGTCCTTTAATTGAATTTATTTCCAGCACCTTTGGCTAGCCGGCATGTATCCAATTACATGACCAGTCGTACCAATGCTTTTTGCAAGTTTTTTAGGCGTTGAGTGATTAATTTGTGTCGTATGTTAGATCATCATTAATATATAAAATTTCACTTAGTAAACATATAAATAACTAAAATTTGACTTCAAGCCAAAATTTTACTTAATACTATATTTGTTTGCCTTAACGAAGGCAAATAATTTAAAGTGCCTTATTTTGTCTATTTCACCTTAGGTGTTATGATGCGGATATTTTATGAACTCACTAATTTTGGTTTCACATTTCATTTCTGATTTTCTTTTTTTGTTTAATTATATTTTTAGTATCCATTCAAAAAGATTCATGAACCAAAAAGTAATGATTTTTATTGCAGTAATGACTAAGTAAGAATTTTAAAGTGTAGACATTTTTTTTTTGGCTTTATAGTATTACAGTAATTAAAGCTGTTTTATTGATATAATTTATAACACCATTAAGTGACATATGTTATTCAATCTATGCATGGGTGTATGTCTAAAATTATTGATTAAAAAAATTAATTTCGACAAACATTTTGATATTGTTATTTTTTATATGAATTCCACTATATTACATAATGTAAGAATTCAATTAATTTCACTAATAATTTCGACAACTATGAAATTTAATTTCGCCACTAAGAAAAATTAATTTCGACAGACTAAATATCGAAACAATTTTTTATTAAGAGGAGTAATTTAGACACCCATGTATACTAACAGAATGTTTTCATTCTAGCTTCTATTACTTGATTCTGTTCACCAGATATGTTTTAAACATGTATTTCCGTAATACCTTGATCTTCCTGCGCCAATGTCTGCTAATTAATTCGTTTAGGCGTGGCATACCCTTTTCCTGGGTCCTTTTCAATCACGTGATAAGCAACTTTTCGCATGAATTTTAAGAACGATGTTGGTCACTTTAGGTCTTGTCCAACTTTATATGATCAAGATATTGTAAGTCGTAATAGGTCATAAGGTCATAGACTATAATGAACCAATAGGTCATAACAGGTTATAGGCGGTGTTTCATATCGTTTTTTGTCACAAACATGGTGAAGATTAGAGATGCAGACATATTGTCGTAATTTGTTACGACTTATTTTAAAACAAATTATTTTTGTTGAGGTAATTAGGTTACGACCTAATTATGACAATTTGTCTGCACCTCTTTTTTTTTGATTTTTTCCCGATTTTATGAATAATATCGCATCTGATGATACTAAGTGTGTTAATAAATTCCATATGACGATACAGTATGTAAAAAAAAAAAAAAAATGTAGTCATTCAGTTAAAGCTTATTAAATGAAAAGGGAGTAAAGGCAAAAAATTCACTATGCGAGAATCTAATATATCATGCATTTCAAAAGAAACCTATTAGATTGCCTAATTTATTAGATTAAGGTAGACTTTTGAAGGTACTTATTATGCTATCGGTACATAACATGAAGTTATATCATATCATATCAATGTAATATATGTTCGCGTAATCCATGACGATAAGCTTGTTATATTGAAGAATAAATTTAATTAAAAAGTTAAATAGTTAAATTGACAAAACCATTATACATTCCAACTATATCCTTTAAGCAACTAAACAAAAACGAAAAATGAAAGAACAAAGAAAGGTTCTAATTACTGGTGGAACTGGATTTATGGTATGTGTACTCTTCAAATTGAATAACAGTTACCCGTTTTATCTTGGTTATTGATACAATTATTCAATAACTAAAATCGGATATCAGGGTAAACATTTAGCCAAATACCTCCATAATCGTGGTGAACATGTTCGGATAGTGGACATTTCGAAAGATTCAACCGAAAACTATTGTTCCGAATTCATTCATGGGGACCTTAGAAATTTGTCAGTATGCGTAAGGCAGTAATAGGAATTAATTGGGTATACCATTTAGCCTCAGACATAGGAGGAATGGGACTTCTTCATGAATCAAACAACTTTGTTTCATACAGAAATAACCATTTAGTCACAACCAACATAGTGCAAGCTTCAATTGAAGCTGGAATAGACAGATTTTTTTATGCATCATCAGCGTGCACCTACTCACGTGAGAAACAGCTGAATCAGGATGAAGAAAACGATGTATGGTACCTCAATAATGGATCTAGTCCTCAAGGCTTATACGGTTGTGAAAAACTTAGCAGCGAAATTTTGTTAACGCAATTCATAAACTCGACAAAAAATTAGGATGGCGAGATTTGGTAATATAATTGGTGAAGGTAATAAATGGGTAGGAAGAGGAGAGAATTACATAGCTTCATTAATTCGTAAGGCCATTTGCTCAGTTAATGAACATGGCTATTATGAAATAGAGCTAAAGAATTCTGATAATCAATTCCAAAGTTTTTTATATATCAAAGATTGTATCGATGCCATAGTTAATTTAATGGAAAGTGATTATTCAAAACCATTAAACATTGGATCTGACAATACTTTGTCAATAAGAGAACTAGCTTATATTGCTTTCGAAACTATTGGAATAAAAACAAGAGAACAAGTCAAATTGATAACGGATGATACCAAATCTGTCGGTATTCATTCAGATACACTTATTAATCAAGTTCTAGGATGGACACCTGAAGTGTCTATGGAAAAAACGGCGATGTGGATAAAAAATGAGATTGAGAAAGAGCTAAATAAATGTGAAAATGAGTTAGCAAGAAATAAATTAAAAGAAAGCTACAGAAAAGATAGTGAAATTATTGGAATTCTTTATGCCAAAATACATTAAGTAGTATAGTTACTTTGTGGAATTCATATAAAAAACTAGCAATATCGGAATGTTTGTGGAAATTACTTTTTTTAAAAAATAATTTAGACACTCATGTATATCTGTTAGTGCTTGAATCAAAAATCCTTGACTCACTGTTGTAATCGCAGCACACATTTATACACAGGTTACAAAAATTGGACTCTGGATTGAACTCTAACGTCTTTTATTTCAAAAATGTATTATTATTATTAACTGAACTACATTTTAGCTCTCTATGTGATCTTCTGGAAAGCTTAGGATTTATTACGTCAGCTTCACACCTTAAGGCCGCTTAAAGTTAATTAGTTGGTTAACGTCATCCCCCCCTCCTCGGCCAGCTGTCCCCCCAAAAATTAAACA